CATCCGTGGGTCAGTGCTTTCCCCACCTCTGACTCCAGCACAAGGCTCTGGGTCCCTGCTCTGCTCCTTGAGGAATGAGTAAGGCTCAGGTGTTTCCTGAGCTCCTCACCCTCCCTCAGCAGCACCATCCTCCCCATCCCCACCTCAGAACCTCGAGCTGGACCTTAGGAAGATCCTGGGAAGGATAAAAACAAGGATGGTGTGAACCCTTCCACAGGGAATCTGTGCCCCATCTTGGGAGCAGAAGCTTTGGAGCTGTTCAGCCACAAGCCCAGTTTGTTAGAGCCCAAAATGTGCATTTTATAAAAGACTCATGAGTTTTCTTAGGCTTTCCATGTCAGATATCTCCAGGGGCCCTTGGCTGCTCCCGTGGAAACCAAACAGAGCTGTTTGCTGGGGATCACTGGGGGAGAACTGGGAATTGCTGCTGTGTTTCATTAAGCCACAAGACTGATGATCAGGGCTGCTGCTTCTGAGCTACGGGTACCAATTAGAATTATTTATTATTATTATTATTATTATTATTATTATTATTATTATTATTATTATTATTATTAATAATAATAATAATAATAATAATAATAATAAATATTAATGTTAATGTTAATATTATTAATATTATTAATATTAATAATATTAATAATATTAATAATATTATTTTGTCCACAGGAAAAATAAAAAAAGAGACCTGGTCCCTCTGCCCCTTCTGCTGGTTTAATGCAGTGTGAGGCGGCCTGGAGTCACAGGGTGGGTGTTTGTCCCAAAGGGAATTTGGGGAAGGGTCTCCATGGGTTTCTGGGATACGAATGTATCAGGCAGTCTGGCTGACTGCTCCAATAAGAGAAAACAAAGAATCTCAGAGAGAAAGGTGCTGAAATAATGGTTAAAAATAGGAGGAGGAGTGAAGGAGAGGATTTGAGTCTTGCCAAAATTTTAAAGGGGATTTGTAACATTCACCATCACCTTCCAGAAGATGGGACCTGCCTGGGTTTCCTCCCCTCTCCCAGGATTGTACATCTCATTTAATCTTTGCTTCTGTCTCTCAGGACAAAATTCCAACCCCATCTCACTGCAAACCTGAGTGTCAAAATCCCTCCTTCTACTGGTCCCACTGTTCCCCAAAAGCTATGGACATTTGGTTCCCACATGGTTTTCCTGGAATTTGGGTTGAACCAGGCAGCTTAGCCTGGCTGAGCTCAGGCAGGAAGAGCTGTTTGCCCACAGGCACTGCTGCATCCCTCTCCAGCATCCAGAAATTCCAGCAGCAGCCACTCCATCCATCAGAGCTGCAGGATTCTCTTCTCCTTTCACTCAAAACTTTGGTATTTCTTCATTCACCCCCCCAGCAGGAACAATCTCTTCTGCAAGGCGTTTTCAGGAGACTTCCTCATCATCTTTGCAGCCAGTTGGATCTGGAGCAAGGATCTGGTGGAAAACAATCCAGCAGGGACTTGGTGAGAGCAGCTGCTGCCTCCACTGAGAAATCACCTGCAGCCACAGCTAAGCTGAGATCTTTGAGTAAAATCCAGCATTTAAAAAGTTCTCCTTTAGGGCCAAATAGGTTTTTCTTCCAAGGATTTTGACCCAAGGTAGGCAACGCCCAAATGTTCTCTGCGAATTCCAGCAGCTTGTGATGTTCAGAGAGGAGCAACACTGGGAATGGTGCAAAAATTCAGAGCTGAAAAAAATCCTGGAAAAAAAAAATCCTTGTGGGGTCCTGGGTGGTCCAGAGGGTGGAGGAGCCAAAGGAAGGTGGCACATTGTGGTCAGCTACTGGAGGATCTCACATTGGACACACTCCAACAAGAGCCGTCTTTCGGGTGCTCCTCAACAATCAACAGAGCCAAACTGCAATAAAATTACTGGAGTGTTTTATCTGCTTCGTTTAATTTCAAAGCAATTGGGTACAGGCTGTTGATTCTGCTGGGGTGGCTGCAAGCCTGAGAGTGAAGTGAGATTGCACCAAAAAAACTGCTGTGAAATCTTGTCAGCTTTCACTGCCCTCAAACCCCTCAGTCCTGGGGCAAAAGGGAATCAGACAGATCTTTAATAAAGGATGTGCAAAGGAAATTTTTCTCCCATTTTTCTCCCTATACAGCATCAATGTCTGGTTTCATTGTCTCAGAGAAGAAGCATCAAAAATCAGCACAAATTTGGGCTCTAAGGTGTGAGCAGATAAAGTGGTTTTGCCAAAAATCCTCCCTGCCTACAATCCCAAAGGGGTTAAAAAGGTTTGGGGGTCTTTTAGGGCATGTCCACTGTGGTGAGGGTCTTACACACCTAAGGGCCCTCCGGGGGGGGGGCTCCCAAGATTTTTCAGATATTTAATAAGATTTTCCTCCCTGATTTGAGCATCTTCTGAAGTGAAGCATCCTCTAAGTGTCCCAGTGACAAGACAATGGAGCAGGGAGTGAGCTGGCAGCCCAAACCTTTAGAATAAACCCTCAAACCACCAAGTTTCCAAGAAGTTTATTTTTAAACTTGATATTTGAGGCTAAATCGAGCAGGAATCGATTTGTCTCCCTCTCCTCCTTGAGCACTGAGAGCATCTCCCCCTCCTGCTTTTCCTGCAGCCCCGGCCCTGCTGAAGGTTAAGAGGTGCTCCAAGATCCCGCTGACATTTCCAGACAGAGAGGGCTGGGAAGGGGCAGGAAAAGGGGGAAAATCAATCAAAGCAGGGAAAACAGAGCTGGGAGTTGGTCCTTGAGGTGGGGACAGGGAGAATTCCAAGCTCCCAAGGTTGTTTTTTTGTCCAGGAGCTGCTGCCCAGGCTTCCTCCAGCACTGCTTCCCATTTTTTGTTCATAAATTATATAAGGTATTTTATTTTATTTTATTTTATTTTATTTTATTTTATTTTATTTTATTTATTTTATTTTATTTTATTTCTTTTAAGGCAACTGGTTGGAATGAAGGGTTGCCAACACCCTGTGTATGGCCTGGTCAGAAGGACAGGGCTGTCCCTGTACCCTGTGTGTATATGGGGAAGTGTGTATATATAAAAACAAATAAAAATATATAAATAAAATGTACATAATAAATATAAAATATAAGGGTAAAAATTATAAATAGCGATTAAATAGAAATTAAATGTAGGGTAAATATGAAGTATGGAAGCTGTGTAAATATACAGATAGAAATTCTATAATATAAAATACTAAAATATTGTGTAATAAAATTCTATTGATATACGAAATTTGATGCAATTATATAATATATGATAATATATGAGATATACTATATCTCATAATATATGAGATATTATATATTATATATTATATAATATATAATATATAATATATAATATATAATATATAATATATAATATATAATATATTGAATTTGAAATATTTAAAAAGTGTTATATATAAAATGTATATATTAAATAAAATAAATTACTATAAAATAAAAAGTAAGCATAAAACGTGTAAGGATAAAATGCATACTTAATACGAATTATAACAATTTGCTAACGTAATAATTACGATGATTATACTAATAATGATAATTATTATACATTTATATAAATTATAAGGCAATAAATTTCTATTGACATCTTCCCCTCCCCTCGGTCTCCACGAGGCGGCGCCACTGAGCCGAGCACCGGGCGGGGAGGGGGACACGGGGACAGCGGGAAGGGCTCCGGGATGGATGGGACAGGACACCGGGATGGGCTGGAACCGGGCACTGGGATGGGCAGGAAATGGGCACTGGGATGGGCTGATGCTGGGCACTGGGATGGGCAGGAAATGGCACTGGGATGGGCTGGAAATGGGCACTGGGATGGGCTGATACTGGGCACTGGGATGGGCAGGAAATGGCACTGGGATGGGCTGGAACCGGGCATTGGGACGGAATGGAACTGGCACTGGGATGGGCTGGAACAGGGCACCAGTGTGGGCCAGCACAGGTCACCAGTATGGGTTGGCACTGGACATTAACACGCGGGTGGCACTGGGCACTAGTATGGGCTGAAACTGGGCACCAGTATGGGCTGGCAATAGACTGGCAATAGTTGCCAGTTTGGGCTGGCGCTGGGCACCAATGTGGGCTAATATGGGTCACCAGTGTGGGCTGGAGCTGCCACCACTCTGAGCTGACACTGGGCACCAGCATGGGCTGATACTGGACAGGCCAGGCACCAGTATGGGCAAGAACTGCCCGTCATTAGGGGTTGGCATGAGAAATCTGCATGAGGCTGGCGCTGGGCACAAGCATGGGGTGACAATGAGTGCCAGTGTGGACACCAGTATAGGCTGGCACTGGACACCAGCATGGGCTGGCATTAGACACCAGTAGGGACCTGCATTTCGCCCCATTGCAGGAATGGCACTGGGCACCAGCACAGGCTGGCACTGGGTACCAGCAAGGACAGGAGTATTGCCCAGCTCCCCAGGGCCCAGGGCTGCCACACCAGGCTGGGACCTGCTCAGGGGGACATTCCTGGGGAAGAAACGGGATATGGGGACACCCCCGGCAGTGCTGCCCCCTCCCAGCCCAGCCAGGGCCGCAGGGTGCAGCTAATTAGGGGCTAATTGCATTAAAGCGGAGCAGCACTAATGCAATTGCGGGATTATCCTGCAGAGACAGCGACCCCCCCATTGCCGCCGGGGTGACGGGAGGGGGGACAGACACACGGACACGGGGCCTGATCCAGCCCGGCCCCCCCAGTGTGCCCCAGCGCCCCCCACCATCGCCCACCCTCTGTGTGCTCGGGATGCCGCCCTCCCCCGGGGCGTTAATTACCCAGCGCTAATGAGGGGCTGATGGGACCGAGGGGGCGTGCAGGGAACAGCCCCCCGGGGCTGGCGGCTCCTCCAGCCCGGCGCATCCCCGCTGCTGCTGCCGGTGATTACCGAATTAACCGGCTCCATCTGAGCCCGTCTGCCGCCGGGATGTGGGTCAGGGATTACCCCTCTCCGTGCCCCCCAGCACCCAGGAGCATCCCCCGGTGCTGCCATCCCCACCCCGGCAGGCAGAGGAAGGAGGTTCAGGCGGCCGTAATAAATACAAGAAAAGTTTATTGAAAAGAAAAAAATGTGGGGAGGGGGCAGCAGCCCCAGCCCGGGGTAATAAATAACAACCTGGGGAGCACCAGTTTACAAAATATGGCTCTGGCCAGTGGGGTCCTGCAGGGTCCCCAGCGAGGCTGGTGGGGTCTTGCCGGGCACCTCGGGCAGGGGCTCAGCACCATCCGGGGCACCCCCGTGCGGGCACCCCGGTCACACCCTGTCCCCCTCCGGGGCTCAGGCCAGGATCTTCTGAGGGATCTCCACCGAGGCTTTGATGAAGATGGCGTTGTCCCGCACGTAGTTCCGTTTCCTGATGTCCTCGTGCGAGATGAACTTGGGGTAGCCGAAGCCCAGGGTGCTCTCGTCCAGGGAGCTGCGCGAGGCCCCCGGCTTCTGGAAGTTCTTCCAGTTGGGGTCGGGGTGGAAGGTCTCGGTGATGTGCTGGGGCTTGGAGAGCGAGGGGTCGCTCTGGTCCAGCAGGGAGAAGGTGACGCGGTAGGAGAAGGGCCACTCGAGCAGGTTGTCGTACTCGCCCGGAAGCACGCGGATGTACACGGACAGGTGGCTGCTCTCGCCGCTGCCGTTGCCGTTGAGGAACGCCGACACCTGGAGCTTGTAGCCGTACTTGTGGGTGTAGAATGGGGGGCTGAAGAACTCGTAGTTGCTGCGGGCCTTGGCCTCCTGCAGCTTGCGGGCGTAGTCGGCGATTTTCCAGATGAGGATCCCGTCGCTGCTCACCGACAGCTCCTCCACGTCCCGGCGCAGCTCCAGGATCTCCTGCCGCTGCCGGCTCACCAGGGCACACACCATGCCCAGGTGGGCCTTGGTGCTCTCCTCCAGGTGCCGGCCCATGGCCAGCTTGGGGCACTGTGGGGACAGCGGGACCGTCAGCAGGAGGGTGGCAGGGACAGCGGGGACAGGAGAGGGAGGTACTGTGGGGATAACATGGGGATGGCATTGGAGCATGGGGACAGAAGGACATGACCATGGAGGACAAGAACATTGGAGCATGGCGACAGGAGGACATGGAACAGGAGAGGGAGGTACTGTGGGGATAACATGGGGATGTTATTGGAGCACGGGGGTACTGGCACAGGGATGTCATGGGAACACGGGGTGGCACAGGGATACCTGGCTGGGATGGCAGGGTGACATTTGGGTGGCAAACACAGGGGTGAGGTCATGGGGCCACATGGATGGGACCGAGCACAAGGGATGGGACTGACATTGGGGCAGGAGCGGTGTGGGGTTGTTGTGACACATCAGGGACAGCAGCCCATGCCCAAGGATGCCAGGGCAGGTCGGTCTCAGGGACAGCACTCACCCGGTGCTTGCAGCCAGCTTCCTTGAAGGGGCACAGCAGCATGGCAGTGTTGCAGCTCTCCTTGAGGTGGGTGGGCACGTCCTCCCGGGCAATGCTGGGTGTCCCACACTGGTTGGGGCACGGCACAGGGTACCGGGGACACTGGTACTGGTGGTTCTGGGGAGGCACAGAGGCTGGGGGTCAGCTGGGGCTGGGAGCTGGCAGGGTGAGGGTCCCCGTGGGCTCCATCTCACCTGGATGGTGTCAAAGACGAACTCCTTGGAGCAGTAGGTGCAGGGCTGGGTGCGCTTGGGGCACTCGGCCAGGGCGTGCTGGGACAGCAGGCGCCGCATCATGCGGGCCCCACACTTGTTCTCACAGTACACACTCTCCTGGGGACACGTGCCCTGGTGGCCCTGGGGACCACAACGGTGTCATCACCCTCTGGCTGCCCTCACCAGCCAGCCCTGACGGGGGTGAGGACACACAGTGCCCCCACAGCCAGAGGGCACAATG